AAAAAAAAAAAAATGGAGGGACTGGGAATGTGGCTTAGTGATAGAGTGCTTGCCTTGCATACATGAAGCCACCATAAACAGAAAAGGTCAGAAGTGGTGCTATAGTGGTGCTGTGGTAGAGTGCTAGCCTTGAGCACAGAGAGGCTCAAGGACAGCACCCAGGCCCAGAGTTCAAGCCTCAGGACTGGCAAAAAAGAAAAAAGCAGAGAAAAAGAAAATACAAGTAGGAAAGAGATAGAACAAGAATATCAGAAGATAAAAAGGTGCAAGACCTATGAAGTAATAGGTGTCCAGGTTGAAAGCCAGCCCAGGTAGACAAATCCAAGACACTTATCTCCAAATAACCAGAAAAAAGCTGAAAGTGGAGGAGTGGCTCAAGTTGGTAGAGTACCAGCCTCGAGTCAAAAGGCTGAGAGAAGGCAAGACTCAAAGTTCAAGCCCCAATACAAAAAAAGCCAGGGGGCTGGGAAGGTGGCTCAGTGGTAGAGCACTTGCCTTGCATGCCTTGCATACCATATAAGCAAAAAGAAAAAAGCCGGAAGTGGCACTGTGGCTCAAGTGGTAGAGTGCTAGCCTTGAGCTGAAGAACTGAGGGACAGCGCCCAGGCCCAGAGTTCAGGCCCCACGACCCCCCCCCAAAAAAAAAGAAAGAAAAGAAAAGAAACAACAACAAAAAACAACCCATATGCAGTTGTCTCATGCCTGTAATCCTAGCTATGTGCAGGAGGTTGAGATCTGCCAGCCCAGGCAGGAAAAATGTGTAAGATTCTTATCTCCACTAAACTACCAAAAACAAATCTAGAAGTGGAGTTGTGGTTCAGGTGATAAGTACTAGCTTTGAGCAAAAAGCTTAGGAACAGAGCCAGGGCCCTAAGTTCAAGCCCCATGACCAGCACACACACACACACACACACACACACACACACACACACACACAAAGGAGGATGCCCAAGAGCAAGGTTGAAGGTGGGAGAATCTAGTTTGGATCAGGCAGAGGTCGGAGTTGCAAGCAGTAGAGCTTGGAACATCGGAGAACTTCATAGCACTCAAAGCTCCAATTCCTGCTCTGTAAATCAGAGATGCAGCAAGGGTCTCCGTAAAAGCATCTTGCATTGCCCTAAAAGCCAAAGACCTGTTGCAGCCTAGGTCAGGTGGCCAGTGGGTGGGGATGCCAGGGCCCCGGCCATGCTATAGGGCCTCTGTCTGCAGGATTACAGCCCGCTCCCATGACTTTGGTGTTTGGCTGCCGATGCTCCCAACTCGATCATCTCTACCGCGACGAGGTGCGGGACGCCCAGCTGCGCGGGGTGTTTGGCCAGGTCCTCACGGCCTTCTCCAGGGAACCTGGAAGCCCCAAGGTACGAGCCGATGAGGACAGTGAGGCCCAGGCCACCCCGACTCCACGCACCCCCAGACCGAGGCCTGAGTTCTCCCCAGCCCCTCCAGTCGGGGCGCGGCCCTTGGACCCCGCCCCGGGTGACACGGGAGGGTGGCGGGAGCCTTTTCACAGCCGGGACCGCCCCTTGTCCCGCCCGCCCCCCAGACCTACGTGCAGGACATCCTACGGACCGAGCTGGCGGCTGAGGTGCACCGCGTGCTGTGCCTCGAGCGAGGCCACATGTTTGTCTGTGGTGACGTCACCATGGCGACCAGCGTCCTGCAGACCGTGCAGCGAATCCTGGCCACAGAGGGCGACATGGAGCTTGACGCTGCGGGTGACGTCATCGGCGTGCTGCGGGTAAGGGGCGGGACCAAGGAGGCTCCAGCGTGGGCGGGGGAGGGCGTGGCCTAGGCCGGGCCGCCCCCAGGAAGGCTGCAGGGTGGGCATTCCGGCCTGGGGGGCTTCTGGCCCGCTGTGCACCCGGGGTTAAGTCACTCTGACCGCTTTCCCCCACAGGATCAGCAACGCTACCATGAAGACATTTTCGGGCTCACGCTGCGCACCCAGGAAGTGACAAGCCGAATACGCACCCAGAGCTTTTCCTTACAGGAGAGGCAACTGCGGGGTGCGGTGCCCTGGGCATTCGATCCCCCGGGCCCAGACAGCCCAGGCTCCTGACAGCCTCAGGTTTCCCACTCAGTTCCCAGAGAAGGGCTTCCACAGTCCCGTCTGCTGACCAGGGCCCGCCACCTTTCTCTACCATATATCTCCTGGTGCCTGTCCCTAGGCTTTGGAGATTCAGCTTCATTCCCCTAGAGAGTAAGTGACATGTCTCCTTTCTCCAGGCCCGGTTCCCCCGGCTGGGGGCTGGGGGCTGGGGGCTGCGTAATCGAGAAATCCCAGCCTACTGCTACCTACTTGGTGTGCTTTAGGTGAACTGTAGAATACCTTACTACTCTCAGGAGTATCTTAACCTTTAAAGCTTATATCGAAATCATTGAAATATTTATTGTTGAAGATATATGTTTAGGTGCCTAGCCCCACCCCTGTGGATTACACTCAAAAGAATAAAAAGAAAGCCAAGTTATGCGTTTCAACTTGTACAGACACAGGAGGTGGTAATTCTTTGACAGCCAGTCCCACACAATTCCATGTGAACTAGCACTCCACAGACAGCCAATCACAGGCTGTTCTTGCTCTTGATTGAGAAAGCAGGTGCAGCCATCAGCTGCCAGGAGTGGGGCACGCCAGAAACTGCCATCATACAAGATGTGCAACACAGCCACAAGCAATCTTTACTGCTTATTTCACACAGGATGAGGAGCTCCACCCACTTCCTCAGACATCTCAGCAGTGCTAAAGTCCAAAAACATCAGCCTACTCTAGATTTTCCACTCACAAGTCACCCGCCCACCTCCCTCCAGGCCCATGGGAACCTGAAAGGGAGGCCAGCAGGAAGAACTTCCTGGTCTTTCAGATCAGGGTAACTCATGGCTTCCTTAATGCTGAATTTGGCCTCTCCCTGTGACCTGGCCCGGCCTTCCACCGGCCTTGCACCTGGAGGATGATCAGGGACTTCTTCACAGGCAACTACTCCTGCCAGCCATTTGAAGCTGTCTCCTTGGCCCCTTTGTGTGGGGACCATCTCTAAGATTGGTTTCCCTGTCATACAGTCATCACCTCTCCTCTTTCTCTCTTCACTGGGGCAAGTTCCTCATTGATCCCCAGGTCTTGCCCAACAAAGCATCCTGGGCATGTTAGTCTGTTGGCAGGTAGCTCTAAGATGGCTCCATGTGTCCTTCCATGCCACCCCATCCAATCAATTCCCTGCAGCTGGAGAAATGAGAAACCTGGAAGAGGAGGAGGAGGAGGTTTGTATGCATATTTGTTAAGCATCTTAGGAGACAGGTTGTAGAGATGACCACCTTCACCTCCCCAAAATTTAACCAATGTTCTGGTTTTCCCCCCACCTAGCGTCAAGCCAAGTTTCTACCCCTCCCTTCCCTTCCAAAGCAGGCAATACTGACCTGAAGTGTCCTCTCAATCCGTGCAAGGGACCTGGCCAGACTCTTTCTTGGTGTCTGTTGTCTCCTGAAATGTCCTAGGGAACAGACTCGGGGCCCTCTGAGTTGCCCACTGCTGTCTGGGACTGGAGGCAGGACTGGAGCCTATGACAAAAATAATCAGCTGGGCAATGTTACGCTGTCCAACATCCTTGCCCTCTCCCTTCCTCACCATCACTGGACCAGGATGGCTTCTCATCGTCAGGTGAGGCTGGCTGTGAGGGGCTGGACCAGGGCCTGGAGGGAGAGGAGGTCGAAGCCTCCCCCCACACTTCTTGCTGCTGCTGCTGCTGATGAAGCTAGATGGAGGAAGAGAAGTGAGAGACTCCCTCCTGCCTAAGGAGAGCAGAAGCCCCTGGATACTTCCTTGGACCCTAGCCCCAACCCCTCCTCTCCATTTCATTCCCCTGCTTCTTCCTCACTGTTCTCTTTCAGACACCCCCTTCACTCACCTGGTGTAGGTAGATGGCATGAAGACTCATTTCCGCAGAAGCCAGCTCTGGGAGCTGGGCCAGCTTCTGGCTCCCAGTGCCACCTGGGGACACACAGCTGGAACACAGAATACAACTGGTCAGGAGACACACCCCTTCCCCTGGGAGAGCCCGGCTACCAGTCTCCTTCCAAATTCCCTCCAGCTTGATCTGGGAGGAGGAATGCCGGCCCAGACTCCCTTGAAGCTCAGGCTTCCATCCCTTACCTGGAGTCCTGGCCCATGCGGGAAAGGGAAGCAAGGAGGCTGGCTGTGGCAGCAGCTGGACAGGAGGTTGTGGGGCTCAAGTCCCTTGGGGGCAGAAGGGGGTTCACCAAGAGGTTGGCCAGGAAGGCTTCCGGCTAGACAAAAGAGAGGAATCAGAAGAGGGGAGGAGAAGGGAGGAGGATGGAAGCAGCCTAGAGAAGGCAGGAGAGGCTGAGGTAAGGTGAAGGTGAAAGGCAGGAGGGCTGGGTGCAGGTGGCTCACGCCAGTAATCCTAGCTACACGGGAGGCTGAGAGTTGAGATTGTGGTTCAAAGCCAGCCCAGGCAAGGAAAGTCCGTGAGACTCTTAGTTCCTATTAATCACCAGAAAACCACTGGAAGAGGCGCTGTGGCTCAAGTGGTGGAGTATTTGCCTTGAGCTGAAGAGCTGAGGGACTCAGGCCCAGAGTTCAAGCCCCATGACCAACCCAAACAAACAACAACTAAAGAAAGGCAAAAGGGTCATCCCAAGCCTGGCACTCACCAGAGGTGAGGTGCAGTTGCTGAGCACCCCTGGGGTTGGGGGGCTGCGAGCTGAGGTAGCACCCCAGGCAGCTGCATCTTGTTGTACCCGGCCCCGAATCTGCCCAAGAAACTTGGAGCTGTGGCCCGGGGGGCGCCACTGAGGATGTGCCAAGGAGAAGCGCATCAAGGAGAGTTCTGTCTTTCCATCCTCAGCGCGTTGAGACAGTGAGGCCTCTGTCTGACCCTCGGAGAGCCACTGCAATCAAAGACAGTCCTTTTTGGTGCCGGGACACACCAAGCTTCATGGGATGGGTGGGACAGGAAATCCTGCCCCTTGTGCTAGATTAAGGGAAACTGGGACTTGCTCAGGACCACCCACTTACAGCAACCGGTGCCTTCCATGCCTTGCTCCCCTGTGCAGACCCAGCTTCCCAAGAGCCCCACAGCCCCATCCACTGCCCTGTCCCCTTTATCAGCTTCTCTGGCAGTCTTTCCTTCCATTCACTGTGGTTTCTGTGCTGGGAACTCTGTAAAGCACTAAAGACCCGTATCTATGCCAATTCTCTCGGAAAGCGGGACACTGGCTGCTGCTACTGTTCTCACCTGTTGAGGAAGCTAAGGCACACAGAAAGCAAGTCACAGGTGGCAAGCCATGGAGTTGGGGTTGGAACACATTGGGTGAGACAAACGCCTCCTGGCCCTTTCAGGAGCAGGGAAGGGCTCCTACCTGAGGATGGCCGTGGCGCTTCACATCCATGAGGGCGAAGGAACAAATGTCCCCAACGCCAGCCACATCCACAGTGAAGTGGTGGAAAAAGTCGATAATCTCTAGGGCACGGGGGTGGAACCAGAAGAGCAGAAACAGTGGGGTGAGAAGTGGGGACAGCAGCTCCTCCAGGAGGGAGACCTGAGGAAGCGGGAGCGAGGCTGAGCAGAGACTAGGAGGGGTCCCCACTAGTGATCAGGGTTGCCCCCTCCCTGCCCAGAGCACTCAAAGGCAGGAAGCCCTATCCTTTTTCTTTTGTGCCAGTACTGGGGCTTGAACTCTGGGACATGGGCGCCGTCTCCTTAGCTTTTTCTGCTCGGGTTGATCCTCTACCACTTGAGTCAACATCTCCACTTCCAGCTTTTTTTTTTGCTAACTAATTGGAGCTCAGAGTCTCTTGGTGATCCCCAGATTCCAGCCACCTGAGTAGCTTAGAGGCGAGAGTCACTTGCCCCTAGCAGAAAGACTTACATCATCCAGTCTCTCCTTCGGTACCCTTGAGCCATGGCTTGTCTGGGACAGATTCCCCGCTGCCGGGGCCTCTCCCCAGACCCCGCTCTCCCGGCCTCCTCACCCCCTGCAGCCCCACTGCCCCCGCAACCCCCTCACCGCTCGATACTGCAGCAACTGCGCCATCTGCCGGTAGGCGCTGGCCCTGCCGCCCGCGCCGGGCTGCTCGGGCTGCTCGGGGAGGTAGTGCATGTGCGCCAGGGCTGCCTGCAGCAGGAGCTGCGGGGGGCGCCCCTGGCCTTGCTCTTCAGGAATGAAAGACCTGCGGGGAAGGGGGGGGGGAGGGAGGACAGCGGTTAGGGGGAGGGACACGCGGGAAGGCGAGGGCCGGCTCCGAGGAACGCCCCACCCACCGCCAGCACTCCCCGGCTCGCACCTGGCCACGGTGGCCACGACCCCCAGCGCGGTCATGGCGGTGAGCACGTGCTCCACGGCCAGCACGTCCTCGTCGTAGACGGTGAGCACGAGCAGCGCGGCGAAGAGCGCGCCCGCGAAGAAGACGAGCTGG